TTCGCCCACATTTCTGCCGGAAACTGTCATACCTGCAGATGGATACAAAAACTCGTCATTCCACTCGGTGTACATTATCGGTATGTGAAGTACAGTTTTACTTCCAGCCTAGGGATCGCCACCGCTTGGGTTGAATAGGAGGTGGCAAACAACACCAAAGATTTTCACAGACAAAAGTAATGACCATATCTGCAAAATTCAGGAGTAACGATTATTATTGTTGTTGCGAGATAAGCAATTGGGGAAGAACCGCCCTGTTTGGTTGCAAACAGCACTGGATACCCGAATCTTCAGGGCCAATTCCAAGAGAAGCCGTAAAGTTGCAGGTGAAGTGCCGGGATGATCGTTTCAAAGCAATTACATCTTGAGCGTGTCCATCAGAAAAGGAAGCGGATATGGTATCATTTATGGGGCACTTAAATTAGTGAGTGATAAAGGATAAATAGGAAAAGAGAGGAACCAAGTAAAAGAGTTGCGGATGAGAAGACTTGCGGAAAAGCTGTTATCCTGTCAAGGACGAACTACGATGGTATTCTAATTAGTGACATTTAAGTGGGCAGTCAGAACTCGGCGGAGGGTAATTTAGTTGAGAAGAATATAAAACAGTTATACTATGGTGTAGAGGAACACTGGATGTCTACTGGAATTCAACTACCCTAGAACATCTGTACTGAACTGGTGCAGTTCGGCCACTAGGGGCTGTCGTTTACGTCCTAGATAAACAGCATACACGGCAGCATACAGGAAAAATCTTTCTGGGGCCTGTAGCACTGCAATTACATACCCACACATAGAAGTATAGCGGTGAACAAGTCCAAGATGTTGAGAGAATAGGAATTCGAACAAGTGCCAAACGGAAGGAAAACTTTGGGGCCAGGGAGTGAAGCGAGAGAAGTCCTCGTGTGCACAAAGGAGAATGTAGTGTAGAAATGCTGGGGGGAGGGGGGCAGTGGCATAATCAGGCTGTTTCCAGCAACATAAACAAGTCAGCTTATTCTACGCCGTTGGGAGTCATATGGGTATGCTATTTACAAGATAATGACCATCTTACCGCGACAACGCAAGCCCATCGGTCAGTCAGGTGGGGGATCCAACCAGGAAACTGCAGAACGTTAATGGCTGACAGCCCACATCCGTGGGTCATTTGGCGGCTATAAGGGTCAGCGAGTACCAGACCAATTCAAAAACAACGGTGAATTTGGAACTATCATATTAACATCACTTGAACTAGGGCTTCCAGAGTGCTGTGATCACTTGGAGGCGCCCTTAAGTGTTTTGATGGCGAAATATTTGGGATGCTATTCCAGACACATGTAAGACCTTATCTGGAGAACTGGATGCAGGTGACTAGGCTGCTTCAGAAACAGCAGACACACTTGAACGCGTGCAGAGAGCGGGGGTTAAACTGGTAACGGAGCCCCCCACACACACCATGAAAGGTTAGTAGGGAGATAAAACCTTTCCACTGTAGCCTAACATAGGAAAAGGCGCGATTCTTTTTGACTTATCGCACCTTAAATAATGATTTAGGTGTTGACCTCTCTTATCTTTCTGTTCCTTCCAGGACTTATTATCACAGAGGTTACTGTAAATTTCCAAAAGAAGCGGCCGAATGAACCACGAGTCTGAGACAGATTAACAAGCAATTGGAACTTGGTACCAGAGTTGACGGTTACGGTTCCGTCGATTAATACCTCCAAGGAGAAACCAGCTCTTCACAGAGATATCTTCTGAAGGGGGTTACCACAAGCTTGACCCTAACCCTCGTAGTGAAGGGTGGGTAATTAAATATTGGATTTGACTATATGTTGAAGACGTGTCCACATCACCCAGTGACTTATTCAAGAGAGAATTAGACGAGTAGTGGGACTTGTTTGAAAAGAATTTTTTTCCATTGATTCACAGCCTTCTATCGTGAAACTGCAAATCGAATATGAGATTTTAAGGTTGGAGTTGGAGATATTTGGAGGGATGGAGCAAGCTTTGCGTTACTTTTACTCTCATGGTTTGTGGGTTCGCGGACGACTCTACAATCCCCCTTGGCAACCAAAGGGATGACCAATGGTTCTTATTTTGGTTGGGAAGTTGGTGTTTCATATAATGAAAAACACCTGGTTCCGTTAGTTGAATCCACTCCCAGTTCACAGTTGGGTACTCAAGGTGTTTCTAAGTTGTGTTACTCAATTTGAAATAAGGTATTCATCACAAGGTTGTTCTGAACTGACTACGAGAATGCTCGTAATTCCCTCATTTCCTACAGGTTAAATTTCTCAATCGTTTCCTAATTCGTGCTCTCATGGTTAATAAAACGACGCTGTGTGTATATATATAAGCCGACTCAATAATTTTTCCGGGCCAAAGTGATCAGCTTGGGTTCATTCTAATCGTAAACTAATAAGTTCAAAGTTATCTCAACGATAGTTCATTTTAGATCAAAGTGAACTAATTCCGGTGCTAGCCGTCACTGAATTCGCAGTCAGTCTTTTCGGCTAGTCACTCTTGTGCTGTATAGACTAGTTATTGCGTTATTTGTTCTTGAAGGATGATACATCCACTTGGCAATTATCATGTACTTAAGTGAGGAATCTAAGACCAAATTTCTCGACGTAGGGCGGAGACTACGTTAAATTTATGCTACCCTGTCTTCATTGTAGTTTTGTTGGACAAGTTCTTTAACTCAAAACCAACCTTAAGTATTCATTAAAAATACATGCAAGTCTCTTAACTTTCCTGTTTGACGATCACCGGATGGAAAATTTTTATTTTATCTCTAGAATCTTTCATATTACTTTGACTCAGCAAAATAATATATGTCATCTGTTCCCACCTAATTTTTGAGGGCCATTGTGGACCTACAGCCCAAAGTTAACCCATCGTTGACTGTGTTATAATCTGTTATTGACCGAAGCTTCGATAATATCTTTGGAAATTCTTAATAAGCACAAACTTTGGCAGATTTCCATTCTCGGTGGTGACTACCACAATGCCCCATGACTTCATGTTGCCTCGATAATTTTTCTTGAAGTCGTCCATAATATTGTTTAGTTAGTGTAAGAGTGAGACTTGGGGATTGTGGTAGATTGTAGTTCAAGAGGATATCCTTCAGTATCCCGGATATTTTAGTGGTTCCTTTTGAAATGAGTTTCAATAATGCTTTTTTGATCTTACTTTTTGTTTCAGATCCGCAGCTTAAAGTGTAAACCCCTTGCTTGTCCCTTTTTGTTACTCCATGTAACCGAGTGACAATCTACGTTAAACAGTATTCATATCCTGTCAGTTTAATTTTTGATCCTGAGGCCGATAAAGTACGCGCATGTAGTTTCTAACTGACTGTTTGATATCCTCACTGGCCTCATATGTTGCAAAACATTAAAATATTAAAGTGTTTGAATCTACGAGCTTCTATGCAAATTCCCCTTCCTCTAACTTTCTTGCTGGTTTAATGTGTTGCTGAATTACATAGAAGTATCTGTGATTCTTCGCGTTCTCTAAACGAAGTCGTAGTCAGTATTTGTTTTAAATGGCTGCACGTTCTAATTCAGTCTTTATATCGATTTAGTTTAGGTGTCTCGGAGGGGACCTATGAAAGGGAATACCTACGACTAGGGATTACTTATTTTTTTCTAAGACTGAAACTAAGGTGGTTGCTAGTTTGAATGCTTATTGTTTACTCTTGTGCGTTTCTGATGATCCGATTAACGAAAATTTACGACAAGGAACCATAAATTCTCCAGCACCGAGAATGAAAAGTCTTTGTGACCGAACTTGGCTTTAAGCAGTTGTGTGCTAACAACATAATTACAGAAATCTTATTCTAATTACCTTGCTAGTTTTCGAGGGTACATAGCTTAGTAGCACCTCGAAGAATCTGCTAAGCCTTCTTTGCCTCGTCATAGGTATGTACAAAAAGGATGAAATATGTAAAAAGTTACCTATTACTCCCCACATCATTAGCCTCGACCGAAAGCTGCTACTTCAACGTGGTGGTCGGACTTGCATACCACAATGACCCAACGAGTTATGCTAGTGGAACACTTGTTCCTTCGAGGTCTTATCATACCAGAATGGTCTTTTGAATAGTGGTTAGATGAAAAGCAGTTACTGTTGTGGTGTAAATTACCACACTATGATGGGGGTTCGAGGGCGAAGTCGTACTGCTGCTAGCTGGATGGGGTGTGACAGCAGTAAGGTGTTTCCTTTGGATGACCAGCAGTGCCATGCTGATGCTGCCTTCTCAATGGAAGGGGGGGTTAGAAAAGGTCGGTCCCAAAAATAACACACTTCACCATGCCCCATGGTCTGCCAGGTCGGTGGTGTTCGTTCGTTCGTCATTTCTTTTCTACCATCCGGCCTCAAAAGTTCAAAACAACCATACCCAAAAGGCTGGGTGTAATAGGCCTCAAGCAGATGTCCGATGGGCTCTTCGGTCACAAATCTCTTTCAGGTACCTTATGAAAAAATAGCCTTCCATGGTGTGGGCAGCCGGGAAGTGTCAACCGCCCTCACAACTCTATTAGCATTCAAGTTTCCTCAGACTGCATGTCACCAGCAATGTGAAATTCCGACCTTCAGTTAAATCTGTTTTGTCCCTAACTTCCACTTCAGTGAATTCAGTTTTATATGCCTTTCAGTCAGTGTTCTGATGACAATTGGAGCCAGTCAGTCATCTGTGTCGTTATTTTTTAAGAGGTAGTTATCCACCTGTATTTAAAACTGCTGGTATTAGCACTCCAAGTTGTAAAAGAAGGAAAGCGTGTTACAAAAGTAAATGTATTCCAAGACTGAGTATATCAGGGACTACTCGAGGTGTTACGTCACCCAATGTTGACACTGAACCTGACAATACTACTAAGCATCAGGTTAAGTTGCCTCTTTTCTATGTATGCTGTCGTTGCCAGGATAACGTAGGTGCAGAAACCTGCTATAAAGTTAAGGCACCGGCTGTTCTGGAGTATTGACTGCTTCTTACTAGGTATATTGGCCTATTAGTCATAGCCTTTATGGATTGGTGTTATATAGGAAGGTATGTATCTTGTTCCCATTGCTTCGGATACTCATTATCCAATTTCATTTAATATTATGCAAGTAGGTGATCGTTAGTGAAGCTTGGGTAACAGACAAAATCGAAAAAGCACCAGTCATTACTGTTACACCACATATCAGCTCATCAAGCGAAAAAGTATGAAGGTGGAAGATAAAGATATCGAGAAAGCAATTAAAAGGAGTAAAAGTTACGATCAGATAGAAAAGAGGAATGAGACAATACTGAAACTTAGTATGACAATTAAGATGAAGATAATGGTTAGATTCAACTGCTAAATTGACAGCGATTCTGAGCCGTCACCCAAAGTCCCCAACCGCTGGTTTCTGTTGTCACGTAAACCTCCACAGAAGCCAGTGGTTTGAGACTGTAGGTAAAGTAACATATCTCAAACGATGCAATCAGTGTCAGCCCATAGCATTTATATAGTTTACATGACCTAACCTCTGCATTACTCGTGTATTGGAAGTCTTTGCACGCCATCAGCCTTCAGCAGTCATATTTCATAGTCACACTGTGAAGTGTGGCAACTTGAAACAATGCGCTTATGTACAGGGTTCTACGTTGATTTGTCTGTCAGTCTGTTTGTATGTCTGTGTTTCTCATTTCGTAGTCATACAACTAATCTGGTTCATTATCTGGCTTTCAGAGATCCCTCTTGTGCTGTTAATTACGAAAGTCAAGAGAAATAGTCAGCACTAAAGTTTCGTAACCAAACTATATGAATTGGTGCAACCTAGCATTTAAGCGACTTGAAAACTCTCCAGACTTCACATTTTCCCTTTTAGCTCTATTTTTGTCCATTTTATAGGTTCAAACACACCTATATAGATATTTAATAACTAGTTATGTTAAATATTATTATTTTAGAGAAACAATGTTTAAAGAATCAGATTACATAAGCAAGCCTATCTGCACTTTGGAGGAGTTAATTAACTGGAGCTTCCCAGCCTCATCAATCCTTACATTACCCTTGTGTCATTTTAGTGGTGTTTGGAATGGTAAGTTTCTTATTCCACTCTACAGTGTATTAATTAGATCGTGGCTTTATTCATAAATCTTCACAGTTGCCGAAAGTGATATACTGCCATGATATGGGCGGTGGTTATCTTTCCTCTGACCGAACAGTTGACTTTACCCGCATTTTCCCAGCATTTCGTTTCATTCAATGGCATTTAATTGATATTTTTATTTACTTCAGTCATCAGTTGATAACCGTACCACCTATCTCTTGGATTAATCTTGCCCATAGGTATGCCTTATTTTTCTTTTCAAACTTATTAGTGTTCGGTTTACACCTTTCTACAAATACGGGTTCTGGAATAAATAAAATGTACTACGTGTTAATTATTTTCAGCATGTAAGAGGCACGTCCAAAATATACCTTTTTCAAGGTTGATGTGTATTTTGACAGTAAATTGTTACTCAACTAGTACTATCATACCTAAAACTGTAAGGCCAAGCTCAACATTAGATTACTACTACTTATGCTTAAATTGCAATCCTTGATACCCTTTTTGTTAGGCAGCAAACAATTTTGGCTGAGACTTGAGTTTTTTTAAGTGAATTTGTTCGTACGTCTGTTTACAACACCAGCTTCAGGTCACGACAAAGCTGTTGAGTTTGTGATTTATGATTATGATTATATACACTGGCCCAATACACAAGTTTTTCTGAAGATCTGATTTTAATAAGTATTTGAATGTGCACCAACTTACGGTTGATTACATGTCACTCCCGCTCAGTATACAAGATGTAATGTAGAAGCTTATAAGTAGTCAAATCACAGCAAAATACTCATCTATACAGTTATTGATTATCAATGTGACATGTGTAAGATTGTTAACCTATTAGTCTAACTCCTTAAGATAGCACAAATCAGCGACCAGAGATTGGTGAAAACTAACCGCGCTACGTATACGCTTCAAACCCTCATTTTGATCTGATAATCGAAAAGTGGAGTCCAGCTCTCATTGTTGAAGTTCTCTGTGTTGATTTCATGTCACTTCTGATTCGAAACCTCGAATGAGTCCACTTCTGGTTCGTTATACTTTAAATGGTTGGCATACTGAAAGGGTCCAATGAAAGTGTCGTCTTGACACGACACAATTATGTAGATATTGTGTAAAATTAATATGCATAAGACTGGCTTATCGATCTAGGCAGTTGACTTTCAACCAGGGGGTCATGTGTTTAAACCCCACTCCACGTACCTTGGTTTGGGTATCCTATTAGTATCCTTAACTCCTAGTTCATGAACACTCACGTAGGTATTCAGAGGGTTTAGTTGGTGTAGTACATTCACGAAGCATACATCAAGAAACTAATCGTTTATACATTCTGTACAATCTCCTGCAGTCATTCATCAGCGTAAATTTGTTTAAGATCATTTCAGTGTTGATCATTGAGCTGAATGTTTTAAAGAAACTGTAAACTGACTTATTGTAATCGGAATATTATCGCTAGTGATAACCGATAAAGGTTATGAGGAAGCTTAGAAAGCTATAGCTTATCTTTTGAAATACACAATCCCTATGTATTGTATTGCATTTTCGTCTTAAAAGTTGATCTACATACGAATTAGGATGCGTCATTTCTTTGTTTGGTTAATTGGAGATGACGTAATACCAGTTCTGATAAAACTGGTGTAATCACTGAATTTCTATGAATATGTTTACTGCAACACTACTTAAACGTTCTCATTCCGAGTCTAATGTATACGCAATTCTTGAATCAACGATTTCCAAACAGAACGCTGATTTCACAGATCAACTCCCTTTTTTAGCGGACATGCAGACACTAACAAAGATTTCAGAGAAAGGTGTTAGTTTTCTTCATAGATCTCGCGTGCATATTTGATTCATCGGCTGAAAATATTGATTTTCATTTAATACAGTGTAAAAAGAATTGTTTGCTTCAGTGGACCATTCAAATGCTCAGAGTACGTTACTAGACTTGCTTAAGAATGAATGATTTCATCCTAGGAAGGTGTTTTCGATTGCCTTCACCGCTTAATTAAGTTGTTAGGTAATTGTGATAGCAGCTTGAGGTATGATGTAAGAATCTATCTGTTTATTAAGGGTCACAACAGAAAGTGTTGATAAGCTGTTACAATTACAGTTAACGTGAAAAATGCTATAAAGTGAATTACGTTGAATTTTTGGATGATGAGAAGTAACAGTATTGAAAAATCGAGTAAGTAAGCGAAACTGCAATGTGATTTTTAATGTGACATTGTACGAGGTGGATGGAATGATATGTCTACTGATGGTCGTATCCTGGAAATACTGAAATAATCAAAGGAGAATTAATAATCACACATGTAAACTGACTTAAAACTTTACGTGTAAGTGATCAGTTCAAGTTATGTCTCTGTTAACATCAGCATACAAAGGAGTGGGATAGAAAGAAGAAAGTGTATGAATAGATAGTGAGCGAATAAACAAAGGTTGATGAAAATGTCCCAGACTTTTAAGATAATAAATAGTGTATGAAGTCTACACTTTGACCGATTTAGAGTAACATCAGTATGAGAATTTTGGAATGTATTACTAGTATGTATGACTGGTAGGTAAAATACTATGCCGGTTACATAAATTGTACAAGAATTAAATAAAAAGCTGCTATTTTTGGGAAGTCAGTAACCATACCTACTGAGATTTTAAAACATTTTCGTTTCAAATTGGTGTTCAGCACGTACTAAGATTGGTTGAAGAACCATTGAAAACCTGAGACCACTGGACCGCTGTTTCGTCCAAGTATGAGACTCCTCAGGAGTGCGCACCCGCGACTCCCCCTCGGGATCGAACCCATGGCCCATTACGATCGAGTCAAAATCCAACGGCCTACATTTTCTTAATTTCGTCCATTCGCGACTGACTATTATGAAGGACAGAATATGAAGAAATATATCGAAGTTGCCTGTCAGACAGTGAAACCACTGTCTGATTTCTTGTTACAGATAGACTCAGAGTGAATTGAATATCACACATTAAACGCCATATAGCTTTCTTATTTCCGATTTTCTTTTGTCTTCACTTGCTATTGATGTTTTATGCTGGCAAATTTCTGCTGTGAACATTTTTCATTATTGTCGTTTGACATAAAATTGAAAATGGATATAGTATAAGTATCAATGAATATTCTACAACATTTCGATCATCAGATGAATTTTCAGCTCTCTAGTACAATCACCAATCTTAGATTGTCCCAGTCAATCCACAGGAGGGTTCGCTTAGCATAGATTTAGTGATTTTCGGCGCTCATCAGTAAAGTGTAGCTGGAGCTGTGAGTGAATTTACCTTCACGAATCCAAACTTGAATCGTTCAGTGCTAGGTTGTAATACTAGGCTATTCAAGCCACGACTCACCCCATGGCAATTAGCAGGTCTCTGATGGTAGTCACTCCGGTTGTCAAGTCTTAAGTGACAAATGAAACTTACTAATCAATTGCACATTGTGTCCAGCAAGCTACGTTAACTCGATAAGCATGGACTTATCTGTGCATTTGAACTTTACAACACATAAAAAGTAGTCTTTTTGGAGCATAAGTTTGTGCCTGATTACAGTAATGCTTTTTTTATAGGCTGTAATTATTATATATTCGGAGTAATCATTAGAGGCTTGGCTCATTGAATTGAATACTTGACTTTTGACCATTGGGTCCTGGGTTCCAACCGAAATGCTCGTACTTTGTCATTGAAAACCTAGTAGTATCATATAGAACTACGGTTCACTGGTTTAGATAGTCGACTTTTAATCTCTGGGTTCGAACGCCGTCCTACATACCAAAGTGTAAGCAGCCATATGGCATCACTATCCCTCGTACAAGAGGGGTGGTTCATTGCCTACTACACGAACGTGCGCATGGTTATCGAGTACATATCTGTACTTCTATCTGGTAGTATCATAAGACAACACAACAAGTGTGCCTCATAGCCCAACACATAAACATGTACCTGTATGAGTTGCACTGTTTAAAACCTAATTTCTATTTGGAGTAATTCTGCCGGTTGAGTGGGACGATTTTTTATTTTTCTATTTTTTATGTTGAAGACAAGGAGTCAGTGTATACGGTACCGTCATTGTAGAAGGAGTTCAGTGTAATGAGTTTCAAGCTGTTTTTATCAATCCTTTGGAGAGTAATCCTGATGATGACAAAAGGATAAGAAATTATGAAGATTTCGCTGTACGACTCGATCAAATAAGACGCATTATCGGTTTTGAAGGCTGGTTTATTAATTTTGAAGTTCCTCTTCTCAAGGTATGTGCTCAGTTATTTTATTATTTGTATACTATGTTTACTCCAACCCTATAGTCTAGAAACTTTAGTACTGAAAACAAGGTTTGTCCAACTTTTTAAAAATCAGACGTGTTACATGGCCAATTTATCTGAATGCTTTTTCAAGGCTAACTGTACGTCTAAGTGTAAAGTTCCGGGTAATATATACAAATAATTTATGGGAGCTGTGACTCATTCGTCTAGGCACTCAACTTCCGGAAAATGGATCACGAGTTCGAACCCTGCCCCACCTACCTAGGTTTGGACACCCAGGTAATATCATTTGTTTCCACACAATAGGTGTATTTCATTGCCTACCGAACGAAAATGCATCTTGTCGCTGAGTATATTGTATGCTTTGGTGGGCGTTGCTGATTATTTCAATATATGCTGAATGGGAACTGTATAAAGACAAGATTAAAACATAATTTTACTGCAGGAATTCAGTAATTCTTCATTTCAGTAATATAGAGGGCAGACTAGCTCCCCAAAATCAGCAGGGATTTCCGTCCAAGAAATCGAGGTAGGAACTCATACCAGTTCTTAGTATTTTCCACTAAAAGTTAAATAACTCAATTCAAGTCTACAGGCACCTCTACAACATCGTCAAACTGATTGCTACGAGAAGACTCATTCTCACTGGTTCTGACAGTGATGGTTTGTTAGCAACCTAAGCGTAAACTATCTGAGAGTAATAATCGCTAGCTATGATGGCTAGTGAAAATAAAAGGGATGGAGTAGAAAGCATCAGCATTAGGTGATATTGAGCACTAATCTAGGCTTATTGATGAGGTTCACGTGACCCAAAGCCACTCTTCAGTTTTCTAGCATCAAGTCGAGACCTGATTGACGTGTGCACTTCCGTCCTCCAACTGACACAGGCTGAAAAAGCTGTTTCAAACACGAAACAATGCGAAGCACTGGTATTTTAATGTTGGAGGTAGAAAACTACTCAGTAACAAAGATACCAATTCGTATTCGGGATTAGCAGTGTTATGTCTCTGTCTAGCAGTAATTTTGTAAATCACGTGATGTCTTAGATTCACTTTTAACGCTGACCACGCATATGATAAGTCTCTCACATACTTGCCACCTCTCAAATGCTCAATTCACCCACACGATGAGTCATGCAATTTGGCCATCTCAGTCTCGTATAATATGACAACAATTTGCTCTTATTGTCCGAAATTTGAGTCCTTTGCATACACAACTGAATTTCCTGTCCACAACGCACCATTCGTAAAAATGATGAACCGACCAATTTCACGCACAAATGTATGATAGTACACAGTAATTGATTTAACTTAGTGGGCAATTGTTTTCGAACCATATGTCAAACAGAAATGAATGAGACGTCAATTAAAAGCTCTTGAGCAGTTAAACAACTAATTCATAAGTTAAATACATTTCAAAATAAATGAAATGAAATAATGCGACCGATAATGCTTATCTGAGACGCACGTTTGGCATTTTCTGGCCGATATAAGACATAGTTGACAGGATTTTATCACAGAAGCCTTCGTAGCATTGCTGGCACGTGGTGGAATAACCATTTGAGCAGTATGGAAGTTAGGCGTAGAATACTCAGTGAGGAAGACAAGCCATTCAGTCGGTGAGCTTGCCAACCTTCACCTACTGACGTGGCTGGGACGTGTGTTACGCATGTCCAGACACCGCCTACATCCACGTGCAATGTTATCCAAGGTACGTTTGGTTGGAAGAAGGACGGCCGAGGATGCTGAGACCAAAACGTAGCGACAATCCATGAAGTTCCTGACTGTTGATCTGAGCTGTGTAAAGATGCGTAGTGTGTCTAGTTGACGTCCTCTAGACGAGAGGAATAATCGGTGCTCTCACACCCTTTGTGACATGGCTGAAAATCGGTCAGAATGGTGCAGATGTACACGCTTCTTGTCAATTTCAAAGTCTTGAATATTTTATCAGCTTTCATCTGTTTGTCTTTGCTTCCTTCATATGCCTTCACTTATTGTAACATCACTCTTCCTCTACCCACCTGTTCTTTTCACGCTGCTATGAAGTATGGCAACGTGAAGTGATGCTCTTCTATGCCCGATATTATGCTGATCTATTTGTCTGTCACCTCTTCATTCTACTTGGTGTTTATCAGAAATGGTCGAATTGGGTAGCGGATCACCAATTATTTAGCATTTCAGCCACAACTTTTATGCAATATATTGTTTATAAATGGATGGTGACACTTATACAAGTTATCATGCGAAACTAATGCATGGAAAGTATTCATATTTCCACTGTACATTAAGTTTATTTTATTGTTTTTTCTCTCCACGTGGTGTAATAGCACAAACTAACGGAAACTACCTTGTTTTACTCTTCAACGTTTTGGTCTTGCTACAAGGTCCCTTCTCGGAGAGCACTAATTTCTAATTTAACGTAGATAACTCAACTCAGTACATGTTTGGTCTGTGAGCCAGATGTGTTTGACGGCTAGTGATACTACAAGGTTGCCTAAGCCGAAGTAGGGGTATTGGAATTCGAACTCAGGACCCGTTGGTTGAAAGTCAAGTGCTTAAGCTTGGGGGAAACATCTACTCACTAGTCATAATATTAAGGTTTCAACTAATTATCCAACTTTTTTTTCAAAACAGTTGATTCCCATATTGATCTACAAACATTTATATGTATTTCTCTTCTATATCATTATTTCACTCAAGGATAAGACAAGTGCAATTCGTGATCGAATAATAAAATTTCTACAGTTGCTTCGCAGTCTTGGATCTGAAGTTATCTGGTAAGTAGTTTTAAATATATTTCATTTAGTAAGAAGTAAGGTATATTAGGGGGCAAAGGGGCTAATAAGCTTGTGGAACTGTAGCTCATTGGTCTCGACAGCCAACTTTCAACCAGTGGGTCACGGGAATGATACTTCGAGCGCAACTCAGAAACCAAGTACACATTCGTGCCGTGGGCAATGAGCCGCTAGAGATATCAGATAACTGCTTGAATCTCGGTAGGCTAATTAAGTGGAATTCGAAGTCGTAACCTACTGATAGAATGTCAGGTGAATTTATATGACATTTAAACTGGCCTTTATCGTTTTATTGGTATCACCTCTTGTTGGGATATCACATGTTGATCGAAGTGCTAAGATCATTGGCTGCTTAGTGAAGCTGTGACTCATTTATCTAAGTACATTTAACTTCAAGTTAGTTAGTAATGGTTTCAAATCCTGAAGCGATTATTGAGAGTTACCCAATCAGACAGTATCATTAACCTTTGGGCAGTTGGTGTCACTCTTTACCCACCACCTCAATGTTTCTGTGTTTGCGCAGTTGGTATTACTCACTATCCAGTACATTAATATATGTGTGGTTGTTGCGTTACATGACCGTGATATGTTTTGGTCAGTAAGTGCAGAGTCGTGAGGAAAATGCCCATTTGACCTCCTCCTTTTATAAGTATTTCCGGTCAGCAATCATCTCGGTACCATTTTGTGTGTGAGATTATATCCTACAATGATGTTAAGAAGTAATCCCATCTAATTTCAAAATATATAGATTCTTAGTAACCTGAGAAATCAGATAGCACTTGATGCTGTGTTGAAGAGGACTTATTCATTATTTCTAAGTTTTCTGAAATGTGTTAAACTATTATTCTGTTCAGAAAGAAATCGTTATTTCAAACGTCATCAACTCTTACAGATTATAGTCATTGTAAAGCTAGAATAACTTGTAGCAGACAGAAATGTTGTCAACTGCATCACATTTATCTCAGGTAACTTTGCATCAACTTTTATCCACTGTACTTATTTAACTTTATAATTATCTCCATGCTTTCTGCATTTTCGTTTATTGAGGTATGATGCAGTAACTTGGTCTGGTTTTCTAAATTTTCAAAATGAGCTGACTCATGAAAATTTACCGTATATGAAAGCTGCTGGAAGTGGTTTATTTCTTAACTATAACTGGGATCCAGCTAAGTTACGACGATCACAAGAACTGTAAGTAGTAGTAGTTTTTTATTAGCAACTTTTGAATCTCTTGTAAGTAAAGTTTTCTTTTGGGATATTGATATAAGTTTCGCTTTAGCCTGTTTAGATGATATCATGACAATACTATACGGCATAAAATCCCATGAAAGTTCACCTTACCTGTATACTTGTTGATCTTCTTAACACTCATTGGATTCTGCCAACCAAAGAAAGTGATATGCCCTTGAATAAGGACTAGTCATCTCTCCTGTCCATTAACCAGTCGACTGTTGGTCAGAATCTTGTGGAGTAGATGAAGACTATATGGCTGGGGTCCAAAAGACGATAACAATCAGTGATTGAGGAATCTTGGTGACATGGCTGAAAATTGGTTAGAGTGGCTCACATGTATTCACTCTTTGACATCTTCAAAACCTTGAATATTCGCGTTAACCTTTATCATCTTCAGACTGTTTATTCTCCCACACAACTCTGTCTACTTTGATATCACTCTTTTTCTATCCATCTATCATTGCATATTACTGTGAAGTGTAGCGAGGTTCTATGTTAATTCTATCTGTTTCTCTGCTGTCCATTATTTTATCGATGTGTATCAAGCTAACAGACGAAAGGGTTTCGAACTGAGCTTTTTACTTTGATATAACTTTGACCCTTTCCTGGAAGACAGTTATTTAATAAAATCTCTAAATACCTTATATTTATCTGCACATAAAATAGTGAGTTTGAACCTTTTCGAGCCTACAAGTACGGTATTTAATTCATATTTCCATGCTAATCGCCTTGATCCATCTCTGGGTAGTTTCTAGATCACTTCGTATACTGTCGTCGTAACAACCCTTCATGAATAATTCATAGTCTTGTTAGACAAAGAAGCCTTGAGCAGAAATGTGTACTTCGCATGCATGTTTCACCTCTCAAATGTGAGATGTTTCAGGGCTAGTCCACATCAACTTTTAGTTTAAGTATAGGAAATGTAGTGGTAGAATGCCTTGACTACTTCACTTATTTGAGTAGTTGT